CTTACTGTGATGCTGACACCCTAACCTTGACTGTGACCCTTACCTTGACCTCTATCTTAACACTATCCAGACCCTCATCCTCATCAAGACCTTGACACTTGTTGCAGCCGTCTCCTGAAACCAGACTCAGACCTCATGTTCACACTCCTCTTGACCCCATCATCACCATGACCCTGAAACAGCCGGAACCTCATTCTCATTCTGACCCTTACATGATACTAACTGTGACGCTGAACCCGACCCTCACACTCACTACAATGCTCACTGTGACTCTGAACCTGACCATGACTCTGATCCTCACCATGACACTTACTTTTATCCAAACCATTCATTGATCATTAAACCTCTAAGTATCCCAAACCTGTCTGCCACCTTGATCAGACTTTCACCTAAGCCTAACACTGAGTGTCATTCTCACCCCGACCCGTACCTGATGCTTACTTTAACTCTGATCCTCATCCTCACTTTCACTATGACCCTGACATTAACCCTCAAACTGATGCTCACAGTGATCATTACCCTGAGCCTGATCCTGAAACATACTCACCCTCACCTTGACTCTGACTTCTACCCTCTTGATGACACTGGTTCTGACATAACTTTTCCATAACTCAGCCTGATTCTGACCATGATGCTCATTCTGACATTGACCCTGATCCTCACTCACTTAGACACATTAATTCTCACACTCACCCAATCACCCTGAACTTGAGCTTGACCATGAACTTCACCTTCACATTGACCTACAACATCCCTATCATCCTTGCCCAGATTCTACTTTAGTATACGCTAGAAGGTTATGATCACCTATTTGATAATGTTTTCCATGCAATTTAACATATCATAAAATCCTAGTTAGTTTAATATCTCTCTTTTATAAGGAGAGAGAACCGATCTTTTGAGGTATTCCAGGGGACCTCTGGAGCACCCCAAAGTTATCCATAGGTCAATAAGACTTAATTTAGAGCACATCAAAAGGTGTGAACATTTGACTGAAAAGGTCACATATTACTATGAAATAATACTTAATTTTGCACTTAGCCAAAGTGATAATAAAAGGTCTCAAAGACAAATACAGAAGGTTACATGACTGTGACTCAAACTTTAGTGTTTATGATTGAGAAGATTCAGTTTTATGTAATCAAGAACCTCAAGAAAACAACATAAAACACAGAAAATTATTTTGATAAAACATAGGTTATTTGTTTTGTAGATAGAGAACTTCACAATATCATACCAGGAGTAGACCAATATACAGGAAAACTGTCTTTTTAAAAGAAAGAGAGGGAGCCAAACTCTAATTTTGCATCAGCTTACTTTTAATATTTGTATTCATTTACTTGATTATGTTTATTCAATCTTATTCAACTTGACCACACACATTTCTTTTTCTATCTTTCATTTTTTTAAAGATTTTTATTTTTAAATTTTTAAATTTATTTTATTGATTATGCTATTACAGTTGTCCCAATTTTTTCCTCTTTGTCACCCTCTATTTAGTATCCCCATTCCCTCCAGCAGTCCCCCCTTCTTAGTTCACGTCCATGGGCCATGCGTATAAGTTCTTTGGCTCCTCCATTTCCTATACTATTCTTAACAGCCCCCTCTCTGTTTTGTACCTACCAATTACACTTCTTAATCCCTGCACCTTTACCTTTACCCCTGCTCTCCCCTGGCCCTCTCCCAGCTGATAAACCTCCCAATGATCTCCATATCTATGATTCTGTTCCTGTTCTGGTTGATTGCTTAGTTTGTTTGGTTTTTTTTTAGATTCAGTTGTTGATAGTTGTGAATTTTTTGCCATTTTCATGTTCATAGTTTTAACCTTCTTCTTTTTCTTAAATAAGTCCCTTTAACATTTCATGTAATAATGACTTGGCAATGATGAATGCCTTTAGTTTTACTTTGTCTGAGAAGCACTTTATCTGCTCTTCCATTCTAAATGATTGTTTTGCTGGATAGAGTCATCTTGGTTGTAGGTTCTTGCTTTTCATCACTTTGAATACTTCTTGCCAGTCCCTGCCTGCCTGCAAAGTTTCTTTTGAGAAATCAGCTGATGGTCTTATGGGAACTCCTTTGAAGTTAACTCTCTCCTTTTCTCTTGCTGCTTTTAAGATTCTCTCTTTGTCTTTAACTTTTGGCATTTTAGTTATTATGTGTTTTGGTGTGGACCTGTTTGGATCCAACTTGTTTGAGATTCTCTGTGCTTCCTGGACTTGGACTTGAATGTCTATTTCCTTCACTAAATTAGGGACGTTTTCTTCCATTATTTTTTCAAATAAGTTTTCAATTTCTTGCTCTTCCTCTTCTCCTTCTGGCATACCTATGATTCAGATGTTGGCCCTTTTGGAGATGTCCAGAGGCTCCTTAGACTATCCTCACTTTTTTGAATTCTTTTTTTCTTCTTGCTGTTCTGATTGAATCCTTATTTCTTCCTTATGGTACAAGTCATTGATTTGAATCCAGACTTCATCCCCTCCACTGATGGTTCCCTGTAGATTTTTCTTTATTTCACTTAGTGTAACCTTTGTTTCTTCCTGGGCCTTTTTTATGTTGTTCCCATACTGAATGGATTATTTGACATCCTGATCATCAATGTTTTCAACTCTGTATCTGATAGGTTGGTTATCTTTGTTTTATTTAGTTCTTTTTCTGGAGTTTTTTCCGTTATTTCATCTGGGCCATATTTCTTTGTCTCCTCAATTTGGCAGCCTCTGTGTGTTTGTTTCTGTGTATTAGGTAGAGCTGCTTTGACTCCCTGTCTTAGTATTGTGGCCTGTTGTAGACAGGCCTGTAAATTGTAGTGTGGCACCTGTAAATTGTGTTGGGCGGAGCCTTAGGTGACCGCCAGGATTGGGCAACCTGCTTCCCTGTTTTGTGGCTCTGTGTGGTGTGAGGGCTCAGAGAAGGGACAATGCCACTGCCTGGCTTCTGGAGGTTTTCTTGGCACTTCCCTTTGCCAACTGGTGAGCTTCCAGCTCTTGCTCTGGTCCTGAATCCCAGAGGGGTCTGCGTATGTTTTAAGATCATGTGGACCCTTTAACAGAGTCTCCTGAAAATCCGGCAGTTTTTTCCGCCACCCCACACCCACTGGTTTTTACAGCCAGAAATTATGTGGATTTATCTTCCTGTTACTGAAACCCTTGGCTGTGTGGTGGCCTGGGGCTGAGATCTCGCACCCCCAAGGTATCCCTCCCAATTTTTATCCACCATGTATGAATGTGGCATTTCCTGATCCTCTGCCCCTACCTCTCTGCACCACCTCAGGTCTCTATGCCTCTTTGCTTGCCTCCATGTCTCTGCCCTCTCTACCCATCTGGATGAACGTACTTTCTTTAAATCCTTAGTTGTTGAACTTCCATACAGTCCAATTTTATGATAGTTTTGGGTGTTATTTGTTTTGAGGTCTAGTTGTAATTTTTCCTGTGGTTGTATAAGGGGGTGAAGCATACTTACCTATGCCCCCATTTTGACCAGAAGTCTCTTTTCTCAAGATTTCTTTTTCATAAACTTTCTACAAGTTTTTGTGTTCATTTTAGTTTGTCTCTTATTCTCCTATCCAATTGAGAAATAATCAGAAACAATTACTTCATTTTTCTTCACAAAAGTGTATCTCCATTTCTTACATCTTCAGCCCCTGAAAGCATGCATTTTATTTTCCTTAGCCCTTAAATACCTTAATTTCCTGTGAAAACTAAGAAGTAAGCAATTGTAAATCTTTTTTTAAAAGATTTATTTATTTACTTTTGGAGAAAGGGGAAAGGAGGGAGAAAAAGGGGGAAAGAAACATCGATATGAAAAATGTCTATGTGAGAAACATCAATTGGTTGCCGCCTGCATGCACCTCATCTGGGGATGCACCTACAACCCAGGAATGTGGCCCTGACCTGGAATAAAACCATAACCCTTTGTCCAGCATGATGATGCCCAACCAACTGAACCACACCAGTCAGGGTAGAAGTAAGCAACTGGAAACTGTGTAACACCAGTATTCTTTTAGATTGACAAATTTATAAACACATTTCACAACATTTAAAAGTATATATATTTCCTCATAACAATATTTTAAAATGTGGCACAAGGTATGCTTACTAATAGACCCAAATATCTTTAATTCCTCCATAATAAGCAAAAAGTAGATAAACTTATATTCAGTAATTAATTTTTCATTATTTTATCCTATTTGGAAATGCTCTAGATATTCAATAATTTCTACCTTTTAACTTAATTTAGCAAAATTATGAGGCTTCAAATTGCCAAAAGATTTTGAGAAACAATTTTTAGGCATGCTGAATTATTGTTGACACAGAATTATTGTTGAAAAGTTTCACTTAGAAAACATTTTATCCTCCTTATATTTATTTTATTTGCTCTTAACAATTACATTTAGATTACTTATGAAAATTTTATAATACTGAGTTATCTTTCTTGCTGACAAGTTTTGCAGCAGAGGTAACATAAACTTATTTGGCTAATAAGCCCAGAAAGAATAAAAGTATTACATGCAAAGCTAATTGCTCTAAAGATATGCTTATTTAACAAAAGAAATTCAAACTAGCTTTACTACCAAATATTTTCCAAGATCATATGATTCTGAAAAGCGTTTCGGTTAGTTTTTATTATGTGTTTGAGAATACATATGTAAGTGCTTGTTTGTTCAAGCAAATTAAATAGAGCCCTTTTATAAATTAACTGTCATCTGAAGGTAGAAAATATTACACAACACACATGAACATTCACACAGATGCAGAGACCTCCTGGTCTTCATTTTTAAATTACTGCCATAAGAAGGGTATGATAATGAAAAAGGACAGTTGGCTCCAAACGGTGTGTCTGGCAGATGGAATAAATTAAGTTACCTGCTTAGAAGGCTAAAGCTTTTTAGTCTCAATATTTGTGGAGAAAATAATTAAAGTTTGTATTTGTATTTGACAAGGGAGTCTTGGAACCAGAAAATCAGTTTATGCTTAAAAAACAACTCTCATCTCCCATTTTCCCCTTCAGTCTAGGAATTGAGGATGATGACAACAGGTGGACTTCAGACTACTTCTAGAGTTGCATTTCTGGTTTCATGAAGGTTTGTAAAATAAGGACAATTGCCCTCAACATTAGGTTGTAATTTAAGTGATATTGTACATTGATTTAACCATCTAACTACATAGTCCCTAATTTGCTTCTTTCTTTCTGGGTTTATAGTTTCATTTTACTTTAGGGGAGGAGGATTTTTTTTTTTTAAGTTTCTATTAGGCTTTGAATCTTTAACTTCCAATGCTGCCAAATTTTTTACCAAAAAGTTACTAAATCCCTTCAAATATCTTGGCAGGTTTCAGCTGAGACAAGCAGTAAATAATTCTCGTGGTATTAAACAATTCCAAGGACTCAGTAGAGTGCGAAGGTCATTACTCTCCAGCATCATCCCCTCTGATAGCCAAAAAGAAAGAACTGACAGAGAAGAAGTGCTCCTGGCCAGTCATAATATCCATTACCTTAAAACATTCAGGTAGGGTTGACATAATTTCTCTACATAAAGCGTGTTTAAACATTCCAATTTTCATAATTTTATCAATCTTTACATTACACTTTTTATTTATAAATCATGTTTATTCTATTACAGTTTTCTCAATTTTTACCCCTTTACCCCACTCCACTTATCCCACCCCCATCCCCCGCTCCCACAATCAATTCCCACTCTGTTGTCCATGTCCATGGGTCATTCATACATGTTCTTTGTCTAGTCCCTTCCCCTTCTTTCCACCATTGTCCTCTTTCTCAATCCCCTCTGGTCACTTTCACTCTTCTCCATGTTTCCGTGCTTGTGGTTTATTTTGTTTGTTAGTTTATTTTGTTGAACAGATTCCACTTATAGGTGAGATCATATGGTATTTGTCTTTCATCAATGGCTTATTTCACTTAGCTATTATCCAGCTACATCCATGTTTTTGCAAAAGGTAGGATTTCCATCTCTCTCTCTCTCTCTCTCTCTCTCTCTCTCTCTCTTTCTTAAATGCAGATTGATTTTATTTATCTTTTTAATGTCAAAGTTAATTATAAAATATTAAAAAATTTAAAACCATTATAAAGTCTTAGCAATTAAACCAACATGACGCCAGCACAGAAATAATCAAGTAGATCAGTGAAGTATAATGAGCATTCTAGAGACAAATGTACATATCTAACAGTGTAATACATGATTAAATTGATATTTCAGATCAATGGGTAAAATAAGGGTTATCCGAAATAAGGTGCATGGACCACCAGTATTTGAAATAAAACAAATATAGAGCCCTATTTCACACATTGTACAAGAAATATTCAGGTGAGTTAAAAATCAATATGTAGAATCCAAGGAGTTTTAGGAGAAAATACAAACTAATATTTTTCATGACCTGAAGTAAAATATTCAAACCCAGAAGCTATACAGTAAAATACTGACAATATGACTATATTAAACATTTAAGACTATATAGTAATATACATATAAAAAAAGTAAAAGGACAAGTAATAGAATAGGAAAGTATTTGCAACACATCTAAAAAAGGGTTAATGGTTTGTTTTGTTTTCTTTTTAGGGAAGAAATTCTACAAATATTAATAAAAAAATGGATAAAGAATACCAAACAGTCATTTAAAGCTTTTTTAAAATAATAGAAATAAGCAAGAAATATACAAAAACAGATTTAGTTTCAACAAATAATAAAGGAACAATTAAAAGAACACATCATTGTCACAATCAGATTAATATGTATTAAAAAATATTGGTAATATCAAGTACTGACAACTGTGAAAGGAACTGGGTATTCATAGACTCTTTTTCTTCATCTTAAAGCAGTCCCTTTAGCATATTTTGCAGTGTTGGTTTGGTGGAGGTGTGTTCTTTTAGCCTTCTTTTGTCTGGGAAACTCCTTATTTCACCTTCCATTTTAATTGAGAGCTTTGCTGGGTAGAGCAGTCTTGGTTGTAGTCCTTTGCTTTCCATGACTTGGAATATTTCTTGCCATTCCCTTCTGGCTTGAAGTGTTTCTGTTGAGAAGTCAGCTGCTAGCCATACCGGGGCTCCTTTATATGTTACTACCTCTTTCTCCCTTGCTGCCTTTAGGATTCTCTGTTTATCTTTGTTATTTGCCATTTTAGTGATGATGTGCCTTGGAGTGGGCCTCATTGGGTTCCTCTTGAATGGGACCTTCTGTGCTTCCTGGACTTGTGTGACTTTTTCTCTTCTCCAGTTAGAGAAGTCTTCCATCATTACTCTTTCAAGCAGGTTTTCTATCCCTTCCTCATCCTCTTCTCCTTCTGGTATCCCTATTATGCAGATATTATTACGTTTCAGGTTGTCCTGCATTTCCTCAATGCCTTTTCATTCTTTTTGAGTCTTTTTTCATTTTCTTGTTCTTTCTGGGAGCTTTTTTTCTACCTTATCCTCTAGCTTGTTGATTCAATCCTCGGCTTCATCTATCCGGCTTTTGATTCCTTCTACTGTGTTCTTCAATTCAGAAATTGCATTCTGCATTTCCTCTTATCTCTTCTTGATAGTTTCCATGTCCTTTTTCACGGTGATATAGTTTGCAGTGAGTTCCTCATAGTTTTCCTCTAGTTTTTTTGTAATTCTCTCTGAGCTCACTGAGCTAATTGAGCTTCCTTAGAACCGTTGTTTGGAACTCAGTATCTGATAGGTTACTTGCCTCTATTTCATTTAGTTCTCTTTCTGGGTATTCCTCCTTTCCCTTCCACTGGAGGGTATTTCTTTATGTTTCCATTATTGTGAGACTCTTCTCTTTTGCTTCTGCTTCTTAAGTTGATCTGTTTTTGTTTTCCTGACTTTGTGGCATGAACTTTTATTATCGGAGACTGCTGTTTTTATTTTCTGGATCTGCCTCTGATGATGTCAGATGTTGACCCTGCCTGAACTTAGGCAGTCTGTTTGAGACTTCCAGGAATCTACTGTTTGTGGCTGTCTCCTTCAGCTGTTAATCTAGTCACTCTGCATTCAGCAGGCCGGCTTAGACAGTTTAGGGCAGGGCGGAGTCCTGGGGGCAGGGTTATTGAGTCCTCTCATGCTACTGCCATATGGGGGAGGAGTCAGCACTGGGATCCTGTTGGCAACTCTCTCCGTTCTCTCCCCTAAAGCCTCCGTCCCCAGTCTCCCCTCAACTGTCGGCAGACCACTCTGCACCCTCTTTAGCCAGGGATCTACTGTCTGTAGCTCCCACTCTGCACTCAGCAGGTGGCTTAGACAGCACAGTGCAGGGTGGAATCCCCCCTTACTGGGTTATTGGGTCCTCTGATGCTGCTGCAGCTCAGGGGGAGTGGTCTCTGCCTAGGCAAGATGGCGACAGCTGCATGGGGAATGAGTCAGCACCGAGATCCCACCGGCTACTCTCTCAGTTCTCTCCCCAAAGCCTCCTTCCTCAGTCTCTCCTCAGGTGTCTCAAGCCTTTGCCGGAGACCAGGGTAAGTGGCTACAAATAAAAATTTATGTGTTGGCCCTTTAAATGGTTCGTCACGTTTCCAGCCGCCTGTCTCTGGCAGAGAGCAACGCTGCTACTTTTCCCAGCTGGCTGTTTTCTGTGTACTTTTTGGGTTCTGGTGCTGTAGGCTAGAGATCCCTGCTTTTGGTTTAGACCCTGTTGTTCTCAGGGGGATCCAACTGGCCGTTTCAGTATCCGTCTGGTGCTGCCACCCATGGGAGCCCTGCCTCCTTCTCGAATCTCTACTGCACTCCTTACCAGTTAGAGTATGCTAAAGCTGATTCTTTTGTCTCCAAGGTTACAAGGCTCCTCTCTCACTATTGTTCAGTTGTTTGTTCCAGGTGATTTCTCCCCAATTTAGTTGTAATTCCAGGTTGGTCCTGGAAAGACATCAGTGTGACTTCCACTCATTCCTCCACCATCTTGGTCCTCTAATTTTATCAATCTTTAAATAAACTAATCTAATTGGGACATTTTTCAAAATTGCCATTGTCATTTTAGTTGATAATTTCCTTGAGGGCTGCCAGCAGTTAGGAAGAACCCCAGTCATAACTGAAGTTTGTCCCACACTTCTGTCTGGAGCTTCCTGCTTGAAAGTCACCAAGCCAAGTTCTTAGGACATAAAATCTATAGATTGTCTTTTAGTAAGATTTTGTCATTGTTTTTCTTTCCTTTTTCTTCTTCAATGCAGGACAATTGTATTCCCAATATCCTGATTTTTTTTTTTAACAGAGTCTGTAAATCTCTAAAAACAAACAAGAAGGGGACTGAGTGGACTTTGATTTTTGTTCTTATTTCTGTTCTTCCATTTTGTCAAGGGAATCTTAATGTTAAACCAATATGAGAGCTATCTAAAAAGAATTTCTTTCTTTTATATTTAGAAGTTTTCCTAATTCAAAGGATCCATTGTCTGGCCTTGATAAGTAGAATCTCAATAGAGACTTGAACCAATAAGCCTCTTACAGCTTAACCAAGGAAAGAGAAAATAGGCAAAGCAAAAACCATATTCCATAGGCAGTAAGGGTGAGGTAGCTCCAGTATCCCACAAAAATTGTGATATGCCTCTAGCCACAAACCTGCTAATTCATGGCTAATGTAGGCACTACAAAAATGGAATTTTTCCAGTACTAACAAGCAATAAAGCTTGAGATGACAAAGGGCCTTTATGAGCTGTAGTCCTTTTGACAAACTCCCCTGAGAGTTGGCGTGGCCAGACAAAGAATTTAGAACTTAATCTATTTGACTGGCCACTACATACGCCCTGGTAAGTGCACCTCATAAATGGTGGAGACCAGAGAAAATACTTTGACCAGTCACAAAGGCCAAGATTTCAGGATGTATTACATGATAATAGGAAAGACACAGAGATACAGAGAAAGACAGAATTAACAAAACTCATGAGTATTCATACCAAATAAAGAAGTCTCTAAGCCCAAGAAACTAGTTTCACATATATTTTCTCCTGTGAATCTAAATTTAGAAAAGACAAAAAAAAAAAGGGGCTCTTACCACTGTTTATCTAAAAATAAAAAATGAAAATGAGAAGCAACAAGCATTTATTTGAAATTTAAAAAAAGAGAATAGCTATTTGGGATGCACCAATTCAGGCAGAAGCACAAATAATGTTCTGATTAGGCAACAAAGATAACAAGTATTTAAGAGAAAAGAAAAGGAAACAATTACATCAATAAAGAAAGGCATTTGTATTGTTGCAGATAAGCTAACATAGTGACACTAATTCCGAGGAATGTTTTAAATTTTTAGTCCAGTAATCTGTCTGGTAGCCATATCTGCTTTCTCATTGTTCTGGCAAGCAGTTCTTTGGGACACAATGTTGCTTTAGGCTCACACCAGAATTTTTTTTTTTTTTTTTTTTTGCCCTGTTTTAACATTCCAAAAGTTTGAGGCATAAGACATGCAAGATAGTTTCTCTAAGATGGCATCTTGGACCCCAGCTCCATTTGTATTAATATTTTTTATACTACTCTGCAGGTAGAGATCTGGGAGTATGACTTGGCAAGAATCCTTACGTTTGCTGGCTCATGTGAGAGGTCCCAGGATTTTTCTACTGCAGCAGCTTTGGGGTGAGCTGTGCCCAGCCAGTGAGGTGCCCTGCTCACATGCCAACTGTGGAGGAAGAAGAAACTTTCCTCTAACATTGGACAATGGAGAGACAGGCTTGCTGCTGTTGGCGGGTAGCCCAGATCTGTTCCGGGTGACTTGAATGACTTTGAATGGCAAATCTACACTGATACACAACTTGAGCCATGTTTATGTAAAACCGCTGGGCTTCCAAATTTATCTTCAAATTTGTCAGCACACCTATGTGTTTATTTTCCAGCTGTCAGAAAATGGCTCTCCTCCAACCCTCCTTGCTTTATGGGAACTATTAAGAGCACTTTGTTAGTGAGAACGCCTTATGTGCTTGTTTCCCAAAACAACCCTGGAGTGCACATGTGGCAGTAGCATTATTAGGATTATCACGGGGTACTGGGTGAGAGGTGCCCCAAGGAATGTAGGAGAAAACCCCCATAACCCTTGGTTGGGGCATGGGGGAAGCAGACAATACAGCTGAAGATATTTTTGTAACAAAGGCTAGTCTAATAGCTGTGCTACCATCTCGGGACAAGACGAGTATGACTTTTAGACTGTATATATAGCAAGGGAGGTAGAGGCCCCTGGATCACTGAGTCATGCTTCCCCTGAATGGGGATAGAAAGCAAGTGAATGTAAACTATACAGAAAACGGCAAATGTAGCTCATTATGGGAGGAGTTGGAGATGAGGTCACGCAGGAGGATCTGGGTCAGGATTTAAACTAAGGGTGAGCGGCCATAAGGGGATTTGGCCATGAGGCTTGAAAGGGAGTAGAAGAGCTATGAAGGAGGAATGATATAGCAGCCACGTGAGAGGGAAAAGTAAGCAAGCAACTATGTAGTTTGCAGTCAGGATCCGGCCATGCGGCCTGGTGTAGTAAGGAAGGAAACATATTGCTGCTCTGATTGTGCCTGCTCTAGCTGACTCTGAACTCTCCCTTGCAAGACACTGACACTGCTACTTTGCAAGCCTGGACTCTCTCTCTGGACTCTCAGGACTTATGTCTTTCTGGAACCAGTGGACCATGGCACATGCTTTCCTGGGCTATTACATGGTGGCTGAGGGCAACATACCCCAGATCCTGAAGAAGAGAGCTGCTGTGAGACTGTTTGCACAGCTGGATTTAGTTCAGATAAGGAGATGGGGAGTTTTTAAGGCTTTTGGCTTATAGCTTGGTGGGGAGTTAGGGAAGTGTTGGGTCTCATGGGGGAATGGGGCTCCAAGTGGAAATGCTGCCTGGCCCCCACCAAGTTTGGAATATTGTAAATAAAGACCTATTCCTTCCAGCATTAATTGTTGGGTCATTCATCAATGTGCCACGTGGATGGGTCCCAGTCTGCTCAGTAACAGTTTTGGCAACCCAGATGGGACTAAAGGAACCTGTACTCAGGTTCCAGGCACATGAGGCAGACTGACCCCTGGAGCACGGCTGTGGGGACTTCCCAGTCTGAGGGAACTGTCTTGTACCCCAGCTCAAGGAACTGGTCTCCTGAAACACCAGAATTGTGCAAGGGAACAGGTTTGGGGAGAAAGGGATTCCTTAGGGCCTGTGAGCTGAAACTGCACGCATGCTAGGGGTTTGGACATTAAGCCGCATAGGCACATTGCAATTTTGGGTAGATCACTTGAGTGCTCCATTATGGAGGATGAGTCACGTGGGTGCTCCACCATCTTGTGGGTGGCACATGGCCACTCCACCACATTGGATAATAAGGCACATAAAAGTGCCACTATCTTGGAAGTGGCACATGGCTACTCCACCACCTTGGAACTGGGCAAGGTGGTAGGCTGGGCACACTCTTCAGGTTAGTGCTGCTGTTGTGTGGGCACTGCGCCAGGCAGGTTCTCTGTCAACTGGGTTCTGATAGGGATGGCTCTAGTCCGGAAGGCCGTGTACTGGGGTCCAAGGGTGACAATGTTTCTGTTACTTTATGCATGTGCATATAAAGCTAGGGACTTTTAGCTGCCAGATACTGAGTTTGAGTAAGGTCCTTCCCAGTGGGGAAAAGAATAAAGATTGAAAGTGGATTATGGTTAAATCTGAATGGATAAAGGTAAATGGAAGGGTTGTGAAAGTTTTAATCCTGGAGGAAAGGAAACCTCAGCTCTTGGGTGTGGTTATTCTGTATTTGTTTTCTAATCTTGTGGAGCCCCGGTTTGAACTTTTCTGATTTGGGTACATCAGGAAAATCCTGACTCTGCTTTTTGGCCGGTAATACCTAGAACAGGTCACCTGTAACCAGTTGGGGAGAATGCCATAGCCATTTGGAACCCAGGAAGGGTCATTTGGAATGCTGATGAGTATGCCAGCCTGGGGCAGGTCTCTGACAAGAGATCGGGTGGTAGGGGACATGCCTCTGCTAGGAGACCAGTGGATGCACTGGTGGGTGAGAGAGTGAAGTGAAGTGCCATGGAATGCTGATGGGTATACCAGCTGACAAGTGAAAAATGAGACAAGGTTCTAAAGCTTGTTCTAGCCCCTCTTCTTCTTTTGGAACTTTGTCTTTGCTTTAAGTTTTGCTCTGTTTCTGCTCTGAAAAGAAATTGAGGTTTCCCAGGAAAAGTTAAAACTTCACACTATGTAGGAAAGTGAAGAAGGGAAAGTACAAGGCATGAAAATGCAATTTTAGTGGCTCGTAGAAGGACAAGGATTTTCCTTCACACTTTATGTGTTTTTTCCCTAACTGATCCCTCCAGAATTTGGCATTCTAAAGGAGTAAGTGATGACATAGGGTTTCTTTGCATAAAACAAATAAGTCCAATTGCCATTGGTGGTTTTAATAATGAAGACTTTGACTGGAATGCCCTGCCTGACAGAGGCATGCCTGGGCTCTGGTTGTTACCAGAAAGCCTTGAGGAACTGAAATTAATTTTCAAAGCTAGTAAAAGCCCACTGGAGAAAAAGCCTTGTACTTTGTACCTTGTACCCACTGGCGAAAAGAGCTTAGTTGGTTGAGTGGTGTGGCAGTCTTTCCAGGGAAGGAATGAAAGTTGCTTTCCTGAAAGATAGCTAGGGAGAACCTTAAGGCACAATGGAAACCTCAAAGACTTGAGAGAAGCGGGTGGTACAGGTGAGGCCAGATGGCAGGTGCGTGCCTCACCCTCTGTGCCCTGAAGGGTAGACCAAAGGGTCAATCTAAAAGGTTCCTTGTGTAAGGTCCAACAAAGCAGATTTAAAGATCATATGTGACCAATTGCTGCTCTTAGGGTGTTTATGCAAACAAATAGGCAAAATTAAAAATGGACTTAATACAGTAGCTTTAATGACAAGGAAGGTGATCTTAAAGAAAAAAGTCGTGTTTCAAGGAAAATCACAATGCTCAGTGGTGGACATTAGACTAGTACAGCTAACTGCCTTCAAAGTTTTTTCATGTGAAAGTTGAAACTGGGTTTGTGATATCATCGAAGATGCTCAATTTACAGGCAAGAGGGATGTGTCAAATTGCCACTGTTAAATGTCATGCCAACAAAAGCTTTGCTGTCATGATGTCTTCCCAAAAAACAGTCTTGCAGCCTCGAGCTTGGTCTGTGGGTTGGTGTGTGAATTAACATGTATGTTCTTCCTTCTGTTTTCATAGGGCGTAAGCCTATGATCTAATTACTGGAGAGATTGGTTATACAATACAGGCCTCACTTAAGAAGCCCCTCTGCATTGCTGCTTCCTGAAATGAGGCTCAACATTTTGGCTGGACTGACTTGTCAGGGCTAGATAGTTGAATCGGTGAAGCATGGGGTGGTCTGTTGGCTTTCCTCAAAACTGCTTTCCTTTACTGCCCTAAAGGTTCAGACAGAAAAGGTCCACAATTCTTCAGAGGGGAGATATCTTAGAATATTCCCCTCAGCCTAATTTGAGCTAAGTATAGTGAGCAAATGGGCTTTGGACAGGTCTTTTTGAGGACACTCTTTTCTACAGAGAAGCCACTCTTTTCTTAATGCAGGACATTGAAGAATTGGTCCCTACCTTTGTTTTTTAGTGGTTATGGTTCTGACTGTGCCTTCTAACCCTCTCGACAAATTTGTCACCTCTAGAATATGACAAGGATGCCAATTTTTCCAGCAGTGCTACCTTTTGGACATCACACATGCAACCTCCCAGGGCAAGCCAACGGACCTGTACTCTGCAAGATCCCTCCCCCTCACATGAAGTCCTCCCTTCACTCCAAGCCCCCTTTCTTGTTAGGAGTTCCTGAACCCAGGGGTAGGTAGGACGACAACCATGGCCAGTAGGAAGAGCTCCAGAAGATCATGAGACCTTTGTCCATTGTCCTTTAGAAGATTGTAAAGGGTCTAAAGTAAAAAAGAGGGGAGTTATAACAGGATACAGGGTGAGGAGTGTCCAGGAAAATAGGAGAAAACACCCATAGCCCTTGGTTATGGGATGAGGGGAGCAGATGATATGGCTTAAGATACTTGTCATAACAAAGGCAAGATAATAGCTGTGCTACCACCTCAGGGCAAGGTGGGCGTGACTTTCTGAATATATCCTGACTTCTGATATAGCCAGGGAGGCAGGTCTCCCTGGATCACTGAGTCGCTCTTGCCCTGACTGGAAATGGTAGCAAAAAAATGTAAACCATATAAAAAACTGGCATGTAGCTCATTGTGCAAGGAGTTAGAGATGAGGTCATGCAGGAGGCTCCAGGTCAGGATTTAAAACTAAGAGCAGGCAGCCATGAGGTGATTCAGCTCTGCAGTTTGAAAGGATATAGAAGAGCCATGATGTGGATTGTAGTGAAGGAAGGAGCCATGTGGCTGTAGGAGCCGGTCCACCATGGGCTAGTAAGAAAGCAGGCACGCTGCTTTGATCATGCCTGCTCTAGTGGACTCCAAAGCTGCAAGGATTGCTTTGCAAACCTGGATTCTATGTGGACTCTTGAGACTCGTGCCTTTTCTGGACTTAACCATGATCCAGTGTGCCATGGCACATGCTTTTCTGGACCATTACATAGAGACTGATGACAATGTACCCCAGATCCTGAAAGAGAGAGCTGCTGTGAGACTGTTTGCACTGCTGGCTTAAGATAGGGAGATGGGGAACTTCGGGGGAACAGGAAAGTGTTGGATCTTGTGGGAAAGGAGGGCTCTAAGCGTAAGTGCTGTGAGCCCTCCAAAGTTGGAATATTGTAAATAAAAACCTGTTCCTTCCAGTATTAATTGTTGGGTCACTCACCAAGGCACCACATGGACGGACCCCTGCCTGCTCAGTTACAGGATCTTCTCACCCTGTAGGGCAGTAGAACTTGCCACTCCTAAATATGACTCTTTGGCATAAAGGTCATTTTAAGCTGATTATTTTAAAGAAAAGCAGACATAGGAAAAGCTCAGAAAACTGAGTAGTAGTGTTACGGAAAGCCAGACTCAAGACACGATTCAGGGAACGGAGTAAGCCTTTATTCACACGCGCGCGGGCTCAGAGGAGGCAGCCTCCAAATTCTGGGCCCCGAATCGGGGTTAGAGAGGGGTTTATAAGCCCTAGCATTCCGGCGGGAAACGGATGGGCTTCCCAGGTGGGGGAAGGGATTAGCATTCCGGTGGGAGATTGATGTGCTACCCAGGCGGGGGAAGGGATGTGAAACGGGCTACAGAAACAGATAAGCAATGATTAACAGTTAACCTGGGAGGAGGTCTCTGGCTAGGCTGCTCCTCTTAAGTCATCTTGCCCTTATCATTCCCCCCTTTGATGGTAGACGAGATTGGCCTGAGTCTTAGCATCATCACACAAGCCACGGTGGTCACTCTGTTGGGGTTGGGTCGGGAGTCTTTGGTATCGGTGATGCTGGAGGAGCAGCACTCGAGCAGCGGCTCGTCTGGTGACCGCGGTCTCTAGGTTATTAATGAGGGTGCGCAGCAGCCAGGGTCCTAGACTTATTCCTAAGAGGAGTAATATCAGGGGCCTAGGAATGGAGCCAGCCAGCGGAGCCAGATTTGGGTATCTAAGCTCCATGTCCCTTGTCCTGACTCTCGGTAGCGCTTCGCACCATCTTTCAGCTCCTTAACCTTCTGGGTTAAGATTCCAGATTGGTTAACAAAATAGCAACACTCCTC